TAAATAAATTTAAATAAAAGCTATTATAATTTTATATTTTATAGTACATCACAAATATAGATCTAGTCAGCTGTCGCTATTGAATTCACTGGTAGTCCGTTTTGTCCGTGTGAAACCGGCATAACTGCCGATTCAGTTTCGCCGCGACCTCAAGTTGGAGTCGTTCAAGTTGTTCGGCATAAGAACCGGGGGGAGAGCTGTCGCAACGAGCGGACGTGTCCGAGGTGTGTGCGAAGAGCGAGATATTGAGCGGTATCGTTTCCACGTAATAGGCAATACGTTATTGAGGCTCGGCACCGGCCTCGAAATGCACTCCTATTCCCATGTTAATGCGGATTATCGAGCAGCCCCGTTCGCGGTTAGCGCAAATGCTAAAGTTCGTGGAACACACCGCCGCGTGGTCGTGAGACCCGCGGGCATCGTTGCACTTTTGCGATCAATCGATCGGTCGACCGATCGGCCGTTTCGTCACGCCGATCGATCTCGGTGATCGATCTGTGGCATATTATTACATGTGTCGTCGACTTTTGTCACGCCGCGTCACGGTGTGCCGCCGAGGGGCTTTTCTATCTGCGAGATTTGAATGCCCCGTCCGCCACGAATGGAGAACTCAAGTTGCACGATATAATGTTTGTCTTTAATCATAAATCTTTTATGTTAATCGACACAAAAGACATATCACATCTTGCAATTAGAAATAAGTAGGAAAAAATTGATTTTACATAAATAAAAAATTGATTTTTCTTTTATACGATCATTCATAACACACAATGCTAATATTGATCTTGTATATAAAAATCTCGTTTCATAATTAACGAGACGATACTTATCAACGAAAGAATGATTAGATTAATTGTAGCAACAACTATAGCGACGTAATCAATATTAGGTACGTTTCCTGTGCCAGAGTCACATCTTATCTTCCGCATTGCCGCGGTTCCCCACGTCTCTCAATTATCATGCGCGAGGACGCGCTGTGTGACTGTCCGTTATCCATCTCTTGCCCATCATCGTCCCTACGATAAAAAAACTTTCTCGGGGCGAGGTAATTGTGCTCTCTCTGCGTGCGGGTGAGACGAGAGAATCGACGCGACATCCGGGCGACGACGAGATGGCACGCCGGCGGAATAGAAATGGCAAAATAAAACGAGCCGCGCGAGAGATCAAGGTCACCGGCGGCGAACGGAGCCAATTAGCCAGCCATAGACTCGATTAGCCAGCCGGCGGAAGCGCGCTCCGGACTGGCGAAACTGCGCGTATAACGGGTCGAAGGATATACAGGCACCGTAAGTACTATACTTAGGCGGATAACCGAGCGCCTGTGTCCATTAACGTCTCTTACCGCCGGTCGCTGATACTTTCCGAGATGCTTTTCCGCCTTTTTCTCTCCCGCTCGCCACGCACGTGATCTGAGGCGAGCGGAGAAATAGATGGAAAGAGGAGGAGGAGGAGAGAGAGAGAGAGAAGGAGGCTAGCTACGAATTCATCCTAGATTATATAACGGTATTCGCTTCTGTTGAATATTCACCGCCTACACGCCCGATTCTTTTGCACCGGCGAACTTCGACCTGACACCGTACGGTAGCACTGCAAGCTCCGTTCTCCAACAACGGTTTCAAGAACGGTGAATAAATAAGTTCGCGTTTATATAGAGTCTTTTCATATCTCACGTCCGAACGCGAAGAAATAGACGGGTAGATATCTATTCTCAATTTCATTTTCGCAATACTCTTTTGTAGAAATGTCGGGAAATGTTATTAGATTGGGTTATTTTCTCGTTGTTTATATATTCTCTTTTGATGAGCTGCACACAGATCTGAATGCGTATCGCTTAAGAACAAGTATATAAACGACTAGGTAAACGTATAGCAATGTAACTTTTCTTGTAGAAAGAAATACAGCTACAAGTATCTTACAGTAAGGATAATAATTTACAATTAATTGAGATAGGCGTTTTAGACAAACGCGTGGAATAATTGCTACCGGTTTCGGTCGGATACTACCGGCATGCGATGCAACGCGATGGTACTCGATTTACCATTTACTCTTACTACTTGTCGGGGCTAGTTTTCCCGCGTAAGTAAAAGCGTCGATAAACACGCGAGGCGGCTTTCGTCGGATATACCAGGGGACTGTTTCTCTCTCTCTCTCTCTCTCTTTTTTTCCGGCAGAATAGAGCATACAGTAGAGGAACCGTAATCCTGCCCCCGCTCGTGAGGATCCCGCAAGAAGTCCGTGGCCCCGCGGCTCTCAGGATCATGGCTTTGTCCGGCGAATAATGGCGGAGCAAACGGGAGGCGTTCGTCGGAATTAAAACGTGAGCCTGCGGATGTTCGGTGGTCCTGAGCGAAGAGGGCTGCCGTACAAAGGATTCCTCTTTCCCTTTCTCCTCCCTCCGCCCCCCTCCCCCCGCTGCCTCCCTCTCCCCTTCACTCTTTACAACTATCCCTTGCCGAGAAAATCCGCGGAGAATCTCTCGGAGTTGTGACGATATATGACAATGTCGGATGAACAAAAAATACAGAACAATTTAAATCTTCAGTTAAAAATTGATATTGCTGTAAGGCCTGTAAGTTTGCTTCTTTTTTATTTACCAATTTTTTTTATATCTTGTGAGCAGAAGATATATTCCACGTGAACATGGTAAACATCTTTGATCTTAGCGGGACCTATGACCTTGTATTATATATCTATTGGAATCTGTGATGAATTGTTCATGGTTCGATTAAGCGATTGAAGGGAGAGCTTCGATATATTAGAGAATATCGCGACTATCATTAGTCACAAATACATCACGTAATTTATCAAGGAGGAAAATTCTGAAAAGGCGAACAACTATCACTAAGATAATGCGGAGCGCGGAAGAAGAGCTAAAACGTTCTTTATCAGAAATAAGTCAAAGTAACTCGTGACTTCGTTTGTCTTAATCTTAAGAATACACAGAGCGCGGCAAAAACGAACGAATCCGCGGGCAGTGATCGTTAACTATCCTTAGCACCAAATCTTCTCCATTTCCATTAGCGGGAAACTCTCTCTCTCTCTCTCTCTATCCCTCCCTCTCCCCTCCCCTACCCCCTCTTCACCCGCGAACGGGCTAATCTCTCGAGGGGTTAAGCGATCGCTTATAGCGATTTTCCTAACCCTCCTTGCGAGATCCCTCGCACAGTCCGACACCCTTTCCCGCCTCTTCCCGCGGCGCGTTGCCTCCCTTACGCTGTAACGTGCGAGTCCGTGAGAGCGACGATCTATCACCATCATCCGAGATTGAGACTTTGCGCTTTCGACGAAAACAAACTGCCGTGTCGTACGCCATATTGCCGGCTGCTTTATATTCGCCGATCCTTCGTGAGCGAACGAAAGCGAACTACTGGTCCACGTCGTAACGCGTCACGTGCGTGCGTCATTACGTCTCCTCTCTCTCTTTCTCTCGCTCTCTCGTTCTCTCTCGCGGGGGAAACGCGGCCGCGCGACGCCTTTCTCGCGAACACGTTAAAAGTCACCGGTCCCCCTTTCCCGGGATGATGCATATACGACATTCGCGACGCCCGCCGAAATATTGCGCCACGCAATCTCTTTCTCTGCCCTGGGAACGCTAATGCACGGGAGATATACAAGGTGTATTAAATATACACCGGATATTTTTTTCAAATATTCGCAGATTTCGCGGATGAAGTCTAGAACTGATTTCGAGGAACTGACCGACGCAAGATTATAAGCGATAGCCATCTTTACTGGATTGATGTTCAATATCAGTGATTGAAAAAAGTACGCCGTGGCGTCGAGACACCCTGTATACCGATGCGGGCGAAGGGATTCGTCGTAAAAAATGATCTACGCGATTTCGATTTAGCAGTCTCGCTTGTATTATACGTGCGCAGTATGCTAATGTTACGGGGGTGTGATATATGAAAATGTATATAATATGCGGTGAAAAGTAAAAGCGATAAATGATATCTTGCGTTTCAAATTTCGATCACAAGCGTTAACTTTTTATATCGATACGTCGCGGGAGCCGCGAGATGACATTTCCAAGCGCTTCCGAGATAATCCTCGGATGATGCGGGGGTTATAAATGGGTATCGCGTTCGCGCTGCGATAAATTTAAACGCTAACAAAATTAGTGCACGCGCAACACACGCGGGGAAACCTGCCCGTTGCCGGTCAATTAATTCAGGAAGCCGCTTTTAATCGTCTCGCCGGACCGACGAGGGAGCATTCCCGGTCGAGGAAGCGCCCGGGCAAGGATCCTCGCGAGTGTAATTCCGCTCGTAATAAACAGGAACACGCGTCGTTATCGACACGGCGCGATCGCACGAGACAGGGGCCCATCACCGGACGAGGAGAGGCGGCTCTCCAGGGTCGCGATCGCGAGAGAAAGCGTTCCCTCGGTGTGTAATACGCCGGACGATTTCTTTATTTAAACGATACGGCCGGCCAACGCCGTACATCACCGCGGCCAACTGGAAAAAAAAAGGGCACGACACGTCGTGTGGTTGAATATTATTAGACCGTGGAGGAAGAAAACGACGCGGGTAAATGATTTCGCGCTCGGCAGATCCTCGTAAGATTGTTGCATCTTAAGTGCAATTTATACTGTTCGCAGAAACATGGCCGTCGACGAACATCGTATGTTAACCGCGAGCCGGAGTTCTTCTTTTATTAAGTATCTTCATTTCCTCTCATTTAATTTTTCTGATCAGATTAACGTAGGGGGTTCTCTCTCTTCTTGGCATAAATTTGATCATATCTTCTCTTATATTTCGCTGCTATTCAACGTTAAATATCTTGTAAACTCTCGCATTAAAATACGATTTGCGCGATCAAGTTCCCAAAGTTTTATAAAAGAAAAATATAGATTTTCCATTAATTGCTCCTATATATATACAATATATCGCCGCAGGGAAGTTTAGAAAGTTTCGCATGGACCGCGGTCGCGAGTTGCTGCGAGAGAAACCGCCTGAAAATTGGCTCGCAACGCGACTAAAGCACGAGTGACTCACCGGTGAACGACTCCTTTCGAGTGCATGTGCTTGAGCGCGGCGACCAGCTGTCTGGCATAGAGCCTCGCCGTGTTCTCGTCCAGTTTACCGGCCGGCTGCTCCTTAATATGTGTGCACAGGTCGCCGCCGGTCGCGAGTTCCGTCACGAGATAGTATACGGATCCGCACTGCAAGCAGACGTTAAATTAAACCGTTATCGATTCGCGCCGATAACGCGGTGATGCTCATAGGGGTCTTGGAGTGTACGACAACATGGGGATTCTGTGATCTTTGGGCTTTTAAGTTCTATAGATTCTCGCGATGTCGCCTTTGATATCAGAGATTCTAAAATCTATACAAGCCCGTACTTAAATTTCAGTACAACAGATATAAAAGATAAAATATCTTATGTTAGTTTATATGTTGTAGAAATCTAAATTCATCGAAATTATAAATACTTAAAAATTTCAGAGTAATAATTTGAAAATTATGACTTTCGAATTTTATTTGTAATCATTAATCATTTTTAGGTAGGATGAATTGAAATTCATAAGTGTAAATTTAGGAGCAAATTGCACGTAACAGAAAGAAAGCAATTTACAAAGGATAATTCACGATTACGCGTTTTAAATTTATTAAACAACGTTAACAGACGATGTACAATCTCTCCTCTTATCTTTTTGTTTCGTGCGGCTCGGTGGCCGAAGCACGCGGTCGTACATTTTAGCCGCCGCTCGTGAAAACGGAGCAACAAGCAACGAATTGGGGGAGAGAGGGTCTGTGGGACCGGTCGCGCGAAATTGATCACGTGCATTTAAAATGCACCGCGAGACGGAGGCGCATCGTAATTATCGAGAAAGCGTTTCCCGAATTTCGCGCGCGCGCTCGCGAAACACGTGGCGTGGGGCCTTCGTCGATTAAGCGATTACCTTAATACAGCGATATGCATGCGGCGACGTCGGGAAGGGGAAGGGGGGGGGGAGGTATGCGACGCGTTCACCGCCTGTGGACCGGACGAGTTACGATCGCTAGTGATTCGTCACGCCCAGGCCAATGGCGAGTCGGTGTTCCCCGGGCGCCGATGATTATTTAATTCTTTGGGGCTTGGACACACATCGGCACAGGCCTGACTGCTTTAATTATGAATCGCGTGCATCACGAGAACCAAATGAATTTCGCACGCGCGGTATTTGTTAGCGGTCGAATTTTGTTAAGCAGCACGAGATCGAACGGGATGAGATTTTCAATTTGCCTTTTCGCAATTTGACTGTCGCGCACTATTTACTCCAAGAGCTCCACTACTCGCTTAAGCATTCCTAATAAAATTTTAAGTATACTTAATTACTATATTTGTTTTTTTTTTTTTTTTAATCGAAATGGCAAAAGTTTTACAAAAACTTAAGAATAAATTCTTGATAAAATTTGGTATAGAAATCCTGAAATATTTTTTGAGATATGAAATTGCTGTAATCATAATTGTCGAACGAAGAACTCGTCGGAACAGCTGATTGCAAATTAAATTTCTTAAAAATATGATTTCGCTTGATTTATAAATTTTATTCCGCGCTATTTTGTTCGGCGTACTGAAGGGCGGCCGAATGGAAACTTGGCCAATAGAAACTAAACGAGAATCTCTGGAAGTTCGGAGACAACTTGCGAAGACAATTCGCTAGAGAGATGCGCATCGCCTCTGTATCTCGCTTGGCTTGAATCGCCGTTTCGTTTTGACGGGGACTTGTATAGAATACGGCGACTTGTGCCAACCGAATCAGCCGGAGTCGAGGGGACGGAACGCGAGATACCCGATCTCGATATATCATCGGGTACGAGTAAAACAGGAACGTAAATTCGGCGTATGTAAACGAGGGGTGGGCACAACGGAAAGGCCGGAGATGGGAAAGGAGCCGAACGCGTGCAGAAGTCATTTCTTGCGAGCGAAACAAGAAGCGTATGGCGTGCATGCGGTATCGCTTTCGCAACTCGTGCCAAAAAGGTGTGCATCAGTCACAGGATTCTATATTCACGAGTGGAATTTAAAGCGGGCTTTTCCTTAGCGCGAATTTAACGTTCGTGTATCCGTCGATTCTGCGATCTGGCAAAATCTCTGGATCGCTTCCATCGGTCGCTGGAATCGTCGTCTTTCCCGGAAAGTTGCCTGTACAAAGTAAGGACTGTCGTTGCGCCGCACATTTTGCAACTCAGACTTTTCCACGTAATACATTGTTTTCTCAATACATTCGCGCAACCGTTTTCCTGATCGTGGATATTCGGAGGCTGTTTTATTTGTGACACAAGACGAAAATAAGCTTATTCAAATTATTGAGATCATCTATACAAAGCGGGTATCTTGGTGCTTAATAATAATATTTTTTTATATGAATCTTATAATTCTCAATTTAAGTTATAATTGCGCGTTATAATCGTCGGTCTTTAAACCGCAGTTCCAAACTGAATAGTACGTAATCTCATAATTAACCTGCCGAAGCAATCTAATAATTCGATGCTCTTGATCGGAGCATCTTTTTAACTCCTGCGAAAATAACTTATTGCGAAAAATATTACCTCAGTCAGAAGGGCGTACCATTCAGTTTGGAACTGCGTTTTAAAGACGACCTACGATTACGCGGCGCGCAGTTTGCTTGAGAATTGTGTAAGATTCATATATAAAAATATTATTATTAACCACAAAGATCCGCTTTGTGCCGTGTTGGCTGATCTTAATCGTTTGAAACATTCCACGATACTGATACTTACAAAGTCACTTAAATTGTTCCTGACGAATCTCTCCGCGGTACTTTCTAGGATGACATCATAGTCCTACCAAGAAGGCAATTCCAACTCGTATAACCCCGCAGCAAATGCGGTTGTCGACGCGTACATTTTTATAGTGATTTCGTCCCCCCCCCCTCCTCCCCCGAACGAGGGGGAACGGTCGGCGTCGTTGTACGCCGGTAACGGGCAAAGTCCTACGCGATTCGTCGGCTCGTAACATCGGTACCGACATAAAATCGCGCGAGCGGCGCGTTTACGGCCGCCGTAGGCCGACAATAATGACCTTAATTGGCGCTTAAAGCGGCTTTCCTCCAATATCCCGAGCATGAGTAACGCGTTGACCGCTGGACATGCATCTTCGTAAAAATCGACAGGCACGCGCGCGCGCTTTCTTATTACGCACGAGGAGTGATTCAGAACGGCCGACCCTAACGTACAAATAAATAATTCAAATAAAGATATTCTCTTTTTATCTTCATTATTGTAATTGGTAGTGTTAATCAATAATCGACATAATTTTAATTGAACATTTAGGGAAAATGATATTCCTCGAAATGGAAATAAGATATTTGGATGAGATTTTTTTTTAATCTTAATTTCTAAGCAGAAAATTGAAATTAGATTAATAGTATCATTTAGGAATTTATATAGGAATGCAATTAATACAAAGTGATGTAAATTAAGTAAATAAGCTCTGTTTCTCTATACAATTTTATGGGCAATAATCTTAAATTGCTGCAGTGTGTGCATATATTTGTGACGGATAATAAAATAAACCATCTAGTAGTGACTAGGCAGGAAAATATCGATAACCCGTAAACGCCATGGTTTTGCCTAAAACGTTCGGGTATTGGAAGCGTTTACACTGGCGCTGCAATAACTGCAACTTTACGACACAAAAAATGGTCACCGATACATTGTCCTCGCGGAGATATGAAATTTTGTTGCCCTGCTACGTTATGCTCTACCGTAAATTTACGTAAACTGACATTTTTTTTATAACAGCACACTTCGCGTATATCACATATTTGAATATATATCTCTTATACGTTCACCGTATTTATACGTGTGTATTTGTATGTATTAAATGTTTAAGAGCATTTTATACAAATAACACTTTTAAACATTTATTGGTACATATGAAATAAATAATTTCAATAGCGTCAGTCATAAATTGTGAATTTTTATATTAAGCGTAATTTATATTCTATTAGAATAAATTATCCATAAAATGGATGCAGATGCAGCACACACACACACACACAACAGTAGAGCATTTGCACGTTTGATTACCAACGACATCAAAATACTCTATCAATAATTAATCCAAGGAAAAGTGGCCATTTGCATATTCAATGACTCCTGGCAGTATCGTAGATCGCGTGCTGCCGTCGCTCGTTCGAAAACAGGCTGCCTGTCGTCGTGAAGCCATGTCACCGGCAGGCGACCCTAAGGAAAGTGACTCGCCTGGAAAACGACTATACTTTACGGCCTGCATGCACGGCGCAGATGCTCCGAAGGATCTAGCAAGAATCGGCAGTCGAAATCGCGCGTAGATGCCGGGGCACCCTAGGCGAGCCTCCTGCCGTCGTAAAGATTACGACGTGGAAATGAGATATAAGGCGACGTTATATATAGCCAATTTGGCGACGACGAGAGAGAGAGAGAGAGAGAGAGAGAGAGAGAGAGAGAGAGAGAGAGAGAGAGGCGGGGATCTTTCGTCTCGATATTATCATATTTGCCGTCAGGTGCGAGCATTCTCATCGCCGATAGCTCTTCCCCCTCGGTGATGGGGAGGGGGGGGGATAGCTTAAATAAAACAAGACGCACTCCTCTCTATCCGCGCGTTTTATAAACGCGCGGGCGCGCGCGGAAAATAAGTACCATTTGCGGACTATAAAATCATTTCCGTCGAGAGAGAAGAATCGAACGGTGCGATCGCGAAACTCGTTTGTCCATTTATGAAAGCTCGCGGGAACGATCGTTCTTCGGGCGCATTTATATATACATTTGCACGCTCCGCGCTCCCTGAAGTATTCGAATACGTTTCCTACACACACACACACACACACACACACACACACACACACACACACGTTATTGCATCGCGAGACGCAGCTAAAAACCATACGTTCCCAGAGGACGGTTTTACATTGGCATGAATAAGGGATACTATATACGTGTAATTGGGATAAATTGGCTCGCTACAACTCCGCCGAGTGATTTGTGTATGGACTGATTTGTTTGGATTGATTTGACTCAATCCAGACAAATTGAAACAATTTTGCGGATATATAAGAATTGAGGAACGCGGACTTTACAAATGAATCCGTAACGACTGATCGTAAATTACGATTTTTCTAGTCGCGTCGCTGTCCGAAAGGAAGACGCGACGTGCATCGGCTGCCACATGCAGAGAAATGATTTCGACGACGTATCCGGCTTGAAAAATTTTACACGCTGCCCGGTCGGACACACACAGGCAGGCCGTCCTTCCCTCCTCCTCCCCCAGCCCGCCCTCCTCGTTCATCTCGCGCGCGGAAATATTTCTCGCAGAGCTCCGAAATTCTCGAATCTCGTCTCCTCCCCCACCTCCCACGCGACGGCGGGGTAGGGCTATCGCGCGGCGCCGTGTGCGTTCCCGTCATATTTTCCTACGTACTTTATCTTTCCCGGCGCGTACACACCCTCGGTCCTCGTAACTCGATCGTGACGAGCGAGCGCGCGGACTAACAAAATTTTCAGAGTAAACGAGGTGCGCGATGCTGCGCCGCCGGGAGAGCCTCTGATATCGACGTCCCACACATGAATTCAATTACGTCGTACAAGCATACGATAGAGAGAGAGAGAGAGAGGGGGGGAGAGAGAGAGAGAGTCCTCTCCCCGGGCTTTTTTTTCCTCTCGCGCCCGTGTTCCCCGCCGTGTATATATACCTTCGTGCGTGCGCACGTATGCGTGCGTACGTACACGCCGTGCACGTGCGTCCGCGGGTCCGCGTGTGTTGGGTCAACGCTCGCGTCCGTGGCAGCCGGGTCACGTACGATGCAACGCATTAATGGTATATACCGGTCCCCGGCCTTCCTCTGTATATATCGGCGCGGAAAGGAGATCGTAACTCAAAATAATAATTTCCGAGTTTACACTCGCGGATTGAAACCGATTTAATTTCGGCGAAATCAATTCCCGACCTGCTTGCTGCAGTCACGAGGGATATACACACGCATTTATATTTCGTGATGGACGAAAATATGGATTTCGACGCGTCTCTATATATTACATGTGATGGAACAAAATTTCGGATCTATCAGGGCCCATCTGCAGTCGATTTCAGTCTATCTGCATCGCTAACAAAACTGATAGACTGCAAAATTGAGATCACGAGAAACAATCTTTTTTTCGTTCGCACCTCTCCCCCCCCCCAGGGGTTTCGCGCGAGGCAAAATGGTGAAAGGGTAGAAGGCTTTTCGACATTGATACACATCCAGGCTGCTTCATAAATTCAGCTAAATGGTGTGTTTAATTAAATCCAGAAAGATGGATCATTCTCTCTTTCTCTTTCTCGCGGATGACGTTAAATTTCGGTTCCCGACGTCGCCGAAATTTCAAGACGTTCGCGATTTGTCACGGCGCGTTCTGACGAATGTCATGTACCGGGTGAGAGTGACGTGACCGAGAGAGTATAGAATAGCGTAGAATCTCTACGAGGGGATAGTGCCTGTCACTAGGAGAGGGATGACGCGCGACGAAATGGCATAGTTTCGTTTTGACGTGTAATGAATAGATCGTTATATAAGAGGCACAATGGACACGGCTGAATCTTGTTGATCGACCGTGGCGAATCGTCTTTGTTATTAAGAACTCGATTAAACTTTCGTCTCGGTCAATTAGAGTAAAGAGACTCGATCAATCGTCGAAATTCTCTAAACTGATTGCAACCCTAAAGCGTTTCTCGCTCACCCGGATAGTTTCGTAGAGCCTTACGATGCTCGGATGCTGCAGCATTGACAGAACCTTCGCCTCCCTCGTCAGGTTCTTCATCACGTAGTCCTTCTTGCCTTGCTCGACGTCTATTATCTTAATCGCCACCTGAAACAAGAAGCGGAGGGGATTCACATAATTAATTGAGTGCGTAATCAAACCGAGCTATTGTTGCGTAGCAAAATGTATCAAAAGTATTTTCAGCGTCTCTATGGCCCGGTCTTTTATTTTCTGATTTGTTATTTCTGTTCTTAATCTTAACTTTGATCTATAATGTAAAAATCATATTTTGCTATATCTGTGGTCAATTGTTAAACTAATGGTTTTGTAGCTGTAATTTTAAAATTATCAGTACAAAACCATCATAATGAAATTAATCACTGACAGTAAAACACAATTTTACATTATTATAAGGTACACTTAAACCACAAGTTTAAAAACCAGAAAATGAAAAACCAGGTCTATGTATGTGAGAGTTTATTATTACCAAGATATTTTACCCAAAAGAATTTTGAGATAGATTATGTTGTTTTACTTATTATTGATGATATTTTTACTTTATTGCGCCCACCTGCGCTGACGACGCGCATGTGTTATTCTATAATAAATTAAGACGTTGCTGGGAGGTAAGCAAATAATCGGCATGCGGAGGGTTGAGAGAAAAATTTCACGTCAATATGGCGCACCTCCGGTTGAATAAACGCTTTATTCGCGCGCGCACGCGGGGCTCTCTCTCTCTCTCCTCTCTCGCCGGAGATATTTCTTCTCGAGCGAAAAAAAAACGCGCGAGTTTATCCTCGGGGCTTTTAGGGATCAATCGTCCCGCATTCTCTCCTCGAATTGCTAGCACGTCAAACACCTTCCATATGCCTGCTTGGAGGAGCAACCAGCCGCTTTTCCACGGCACGAAGAGGGTGAAGGTGGGCGCGCGAACGAGAGCGAAAGCGAAAGAGGGAGAGTTACGGAGAAGACGGGAAAAGAGAAGAGATGCCTTGGGATTCGAATACGTTATAAGACGGCCGCGCCGCGCGAGCGAATGGGGCGCGCGCCTTCACGGTCCCCTGTCCCTTTGATGTGCCGTAAAGGCCCGGCGGCGGTAATTCGCACGAACCTAAGCGATTGAAACGGTGGACTCTCTCGCCGTACCCCTCGGCAACGAGGGGCGCGCGACGCGGGAAACTGTAACGCCGAATTACGTAAACTGGAGGGCACGCGAGAACTTGTACCGTCACCGCAAAGGTCTTACTTACGTCTGTCGTCTCCTGAAATTGGAGGCGTGGGTGGCGGAATCGTGGAGGAGAAAGGTACAGCGTATCCATATCCTCGAATTTTCGAGGACGATAAATTATTATATATAGGTAGAGAATGTGTAAAGTTTACCATTCGCTTCCAAAATATCAGTATATACAGACTATATAGAATATCAGTATATATAAAGACAGAATCGCGACGCATCTGTTGCATTTAAATATCGTCGACATTTTCGGTCCTCATTTGACAGTTCGACTCGCGCCTCGAGAAGGAACTGTCGAAGGAACTTTCCGCGGCGGTTTGTTCCGAGGACCCGAGTCCCGAATCTTGCGTCTCTCCTCGACTTTCCAAGTCGACCGGCAGCAGCGGGTCGCATATCATTAGCAGCGCGGTGGCGCCCGGCATCCTTTGATCTTCCTGCTCTTTCTGTATTGAGTGAGAAAGTGACACGAGCAGACGAGTGGCAGGGAGAGAACGGAAGAGAGAAGCAGAGGAAGTGAAGCGCCCCTGTTCCGGGACCGTTCGCAATGTGCGAAGCGTAAGAGAGAGAGAAAGAGAGAGAGAGACAAAGGAAATATAAGGAGATAGAAGAAGAGAGGAGAGGGGAAGGGAGGCTCTTGCGTTCAAGGTATATCTGACAACCTCCCCAAATGATTTGTAGCGCTCTTCGCCAGACACAAGATACTAATTCTTTGGGCGCTGTCAGTCGACCAGCTACCGCTCGCCACTGTCGACTCGCTCTCCTTCTGTCCCTTCCCCCCCCCTCTCTCTCTCTCTTTCCGCCGAGTTCTCCGTTGGCTTATCTCTGTTTGCATTATGTTACAACTCAGTCAACTGACACGCCGTTCCTCGTCCCGTCGCTCCACATTATGATCGTCGCTTCTTCCTCTTTAAACGCTGTAGTACGGCAGATCAATCTTGGAAGATAATGCGCGATAATGCGTCAGAATTGTATGCGAGAACGTTCCTAGGTGGTACTCCCGCACAGAAGAGCAGTCACAATTACGAATTTTATATGTACCATTTCTACCGAGAGTCCCTCTCTCTCTCTCTCTCTCTCTCTCTCTCTCTCTCTCTCTCTCTCTCTCTCTCTCTTCCCTTCATCCGTTTGATTCACTTTCTTATTGTTAGCTTATCTCTGTTTGCATTCTGTTACAGCTCAGTCAACTGATATTCCCGCCCCTCGTCCCGCCGCTTCTTCCTGTTTGGGCGTTGTAGGATATTGAATTGATCTTGCAGGGAGTCTCTCTCTCGCGATGGCACGCCGAAATGCTACATACGTAAGTCACTTCTCTATAAAGTTTCTACGTACGTACAGATGTTTGCGGGATCTCTCCCTGCATCTCTTTCTGCGAGCTTTTCTTATCTCTTATCTTGTATTATGTTACAACTTACCAAGTCAACTGACGCATCGCTTTTCATCTCATCGCTCTACGTTTACCCATCATCGTTTGCTCGCTGTAAACTTTCTGCGAGCCGTCGCGATATGACGGATCGACTCCGCGGAATTGAAAGCAAACTGATATCGATAGCACGCGCGTACACTTTTAAAGTTTCTTATAGAAAATAAAGTACAAATTTGTGGAACACAGATTGTAAACGTGTCCTATCCTAAGTATACGCTTAAGTACGCCGATGATGTATCTATCCAAAGATCCATCTTAATTTTGACCGGCAACAGTTATGCACATCAACATTACGAATATTCGTGATTTAACGTAACAGTTGCGCGAATAGTTGCTGCATTAATTGTTTCCCCTGTTTTTTTTTTCCGTTCGCAAATCTCCGCGCTGCCATCCCGCACGGCCTGCCTCTTTCGCATAAATTAATTCTTCCGCGCGAACAGTTTAGATTGGTTACTGAATCGCGAGGAGCGCCACGTGACTAATTCCCAAGCATATTCATCGTGGTTTATATCGGTTAATGCGACGCAGAATCTTCTTTGGAGCCGAGATAAAATGGGGTCGAGCGGCGGCGCGGCGCGGGCGGTGCGCGGCGGCGCGGGCCGCGAAGAGAGACGCGAATAAAGTAGTTCTATTTGCGCGGGCGAGAGAGCTGGGGAAAAGCGGAGCCGCGCTGCGGAGCCGTAATAATGTTTGCGAAAGCCACATTAAGGTATCCATTTTAGAGATCGCTTACTAACGAATGTTTCTGCGTGGGTCGAGATATACGAGCGAGCCGCCGCGCCGCTGTACCCAGGGCCTGACCTGTCAGGATCTCCTGCGGAGGGTACACAGGCGCGTATATCGCACCACAACCACCACCACCACTACCTACTATCGCGCGTTCGAACGAACACACGCGCATTCACGCGCATCTCCGGTATCCCGTATCCCGGATCCGCGCGGCTACGAAGCCAGGATGCGAGATTGTCGCTGTAAGCCACGCGTTATACCGTAAAACCGCACGTGACGCTCAATTTCGAGATTACAATCAGCTTTATATGCTTCTTTAATTTCGAAATAAATCAGTAGTTCTGAAAGACAATGTTGCATTTAGCAAGAGCAAGTAAAAAAGTAAAGGAACTTTTGCGATTTGTCGGTAAACAAAAATTAATCACAGATATGTGTAATATAAAAGTAAAGAAATTCGAGTAGTATTCTAAGAGAAAAATGTTCCGAGAGTCATAATAAAAATATACACATCTTGAGCACTGTCAAGAGATACGTCTTGTCAAGTGTCGTGTCTCGCGCTAAAATCACGTGCAGCAAACGCGAAGTCGTAAAAATAGACGCGTCCCATAATAACACCGTAACTTGCAAGCGTTTTCTGGAGCTCAATTAAAGTTGAAAATTTCAAAGACACAACAATAGTTTTCGAGCTTTAAAAAATTAAGGTAAACTAATAATATCGTGCAGATCTTCACTCAATTAAGCTCGTGAATAAGCTTTGCTTATAGACATATTGATTTATCATATTATTTTCATAGCGCAGTATAGAAGGCATTGATTTTCATCGCTCAATTGATCTTGTCGTCTAATATTTTACATGAAAATCCCGGAGAGAGAAATGGTCTGTAGACGTCGATTCGATATCTATAGACATTCGGTGTTTATAGACGTCGAATCGACATCTATAGACCTATCATTTCTTCTTAGAATATTATCATAATTGACGTATTAACAAATTGATTACTAACAGCAAATTTTAATTGTCGCGCGTAAAATATATTTGTCATTTTTGAAATAAAATTTAAAAAATCGTATATTATTCTACTTAAAGAGAATTATTAAATGTTCATTTAAGGAATGAAATTTATCTTTGATTAGAAAAATATGCAAATTTATATACACAATAATGTCGCTTTTTCCCAATTTTTTATGATCTGAGACAAATAAAATTATGATCTTGATAAATCAAGAAAAAAACAAAATTAATTTGTCACATTTTCTGCGCTTTAATCTCATTTTCTTCGTTTATTAATATCCCGCAGTTTCATTCCTCTTCCCTCTCTCGGGACGTGAAAATTTAAAAGAAGTAATAAAAAGTTATATTGAACATTTTTTCAACCAAAACGATAATGAATTTTATTTTTCAAATAAACGTTATATTTAATAATGTTATTTAATCGATTAAAAACAACCATCAAATTTTCACATTAAAAGAAAAATTTAATAATCTATCTGTAACAAAGTTAAAATTTCGATATACGTATGTACGTGCAGCAGTTGAATCGCGGTTATTATATTCTCATTGTGTTATACATATACGATTCACAAGCAATATCTTTATTATGCATCTCGGTCGAGATTATAAAATTTTATATTAGATATGCGGAATTAATTAGTTCTCTTCGGCAATGCTAACGACTAGCATAAAATAGAGAGTGAAACGATACTGTATCGGATATAATCTTT